AAGAAGTGCAAAGGAAACAGGAAATGACTTCAGCAGCATTTCTTGATATCTTACTCAGAAGGAGACTGGAGAATCGGTGCTGGTAGCTATTCCAGGACGGGGTATTTAAAAGAAATCCTTGGGATCTTTAGACGTCTAGTCACTAATATCTTAGTCATGGCTCAAAAGCAGACAGTGCTGGTCATCATTTTACATTTATAAAAATATACAATCTGGTGAAGAGTTCACATCAGTTTAATAATTCAAAACTAATTGACATTTTCACACAAATGGGGCATTTATGAGCTATTTCACAGAGGTGAAAATAGAAGTCACTTATTGCTTCTACATTTCTTATGTTGTTTATCACAGAGCTCATCTTTGTCTGCATTAAATGAAGTAGTATAAGAGTAAACACAAATAAATCTAAGCTACCCCTAAACTCAAGGGGATGTATATATGTAAAATGGAAAGGAAATAGCTTGGAAATCACTGTCCTCATTGTTACTTTTATCATTGCCATCATCATCAAGCTACAGTTATTAAACACACACTCACTGTGTACAGCATCATAGCAAGAGAGAGGGCTGGTGGAAAAGTCACTTTCTTCCTGTCTTGGGGCCTGGATTTCACACTGATTCAACATATGCCTTTTCATCACAGTCTGAATAATTGTCATATCACCATATTGTTAAAAAATAAAGTAAAAAATGCTTCACTTTCTGAGGATGTGCTTAGTTATGATAAGTTACTACTGCATCCATCAACTTCAAGCTATGTTTCTGTGAACCAATAAAAATAATGAAAATAATCACAAAACTATGGAGTTAAAATCTGAAAAAAGGGCATTGCTTAATGTTCATTATCTATTTAAAAATGGAATTTTTCTTTGCTTCTGCCATTCTTCTTCCTCTCTTTCTTTCCCTCCCTCTTACCCTTCCTTCCTTCTTTCCTTCCATTTTCCATGTTTAATGTATTGTTGTATTGTAAGATACAACAGTAAAAAACATACACACATTTTATTATTGCCTTCAAGTAATCCCCAGTCTAGTGGCAATATCAACAGTGTGACAGAGGCTAAACTAGTGTGACTCCCAAGGTGTCTAGAACCATTGAAGGAAGCATTTAATACAGCCATAGTCAATTCAAGGAGTGGGTGGAGTATAGAAGGCAACAGATGTTAGCCAAGTAAGGAAGTCTATTTCAAATATAAATATTATACTTACAAGGGCTTAGAGATGAGACAATGCAGTGGACTCAAAATTATTTCTCTCATTTTTTAATTTTTATACTTCTTTTTACCAAACTGTACCACACTTACTTTATTCATTATTGGATTGAATTTCTTATATTTTCTTAAAAATGAAAGTGAGAGCAGGATATGGAACAAGGTGAGTAGAGAGTCAGGTGATTCAGAAAAAGTATAGAATAAAAGTGCTAATAAATTTCAGAAATGTATGCATTTTGTTTAGTCTTTTAATTAACCACCCAAAGGGGTATAATTCAAAGATGAAATTTCTGTTGCTTATAATATAAAATACAATTATAAGTGTGTTGAAGATATATGGTAAGGCTGACATAATTTAATATATTTGACTTTGTAGATTCAGAAAGAACATGTGTCATTGATAGAAGAAAAGTGGGAAATCATATAGCTAAGACTAGCTATAATTACACTGCATAAAAGAAAGCACAGTAGACAGTATGAACCAAAGTACAACCACGGGGGTCATCATATGAAGGTTACCATGGTATAATACTTTCTAATTTTTCTTATCAAGCCATCTCATCAGAAATCAGTGAAATCACTCTTGAAAATGCCCTGAAAATCACTCTAATCACCTCCAATTCTAAACATATGTCAAAATTCAAGACTTGAATATACATTCATTCTTTGTCTTTCAATATCTATTGCGAAGTCCTACCCAGAAAGTTGGCTTTTCATTGATCAGCTTTAACTTTCATTTTGTTCGTTTTGTTCACATGTGTATTATTATTATTATTATTACTTTGATTTAAGGGGGTACATGTGCAGGTTTGTTACATGAGTATATTGCATGATGGTGAGGTTTGGACTTCTATTGAACCCATCACCAAATAGTAAACATGGTAGCCAATGGGTAGTTTTTCAACTCTTACCCGCCACCCTCCTTTCAACATTTTTCTTCACTTACTATTTTCATCTATATCCACACTGGAGTCACTGTACTAACTCACATTCCTCAAGTTTACTCACCTCACCAAGCAGAACTCTTAGAAAATAGAAAGCCTTTCTTTAGTATACCGAAGTCCTTCTGTTTTTTTTTCCTTCTTCCACATTTTTGCTTAACATTTCTCTAGTTTCTTTCCTACAATGTACCAAATCCTACTATTTGGAGAAATACTTCTAATAATCATTTATTCATAGTGTGACAACTTTACATGGATTTTTGATTATGCCATCACTCATTGTAGAATAAAAATTTTTATTCCTAAAAGAGATGAATTTTAGAGGCACACTGGACAGTTGAGGGAGATTTGCCTGAAAGGAGGGACAAGGAAAGGGATGCTATGGGATATTTCAGGGGCTATGAAAATACAATATTAGCTGGGCTCGGTGGCTCAGCCTGTAATCCCGTGCCTTTGGGAGGCTGAGGTGAGTGAATTGCCTGAGCCCGCAGGTTTGAGACCCTCCTGGGCAGGTGAGACCTCATCTCTACAATAAAATTTGAAAAGAAAATTAGCCGGGCGTGGTAGAGCACGCCTGTATTTCCGGCTACTCAGAAGGCTGAGGCGGAAGGATCGCTGGAGCCCAGCGGGTCGAGGCTGCGGTGGCCGGGAGCAGCCACTGCACTCCAGTCTGGGCGACAGAGTGAGACTCCAACTCAAAAAAAAAAAGAAAAGAAAATACAATATTAGAGATACTGAACATCTGGTACCTCATTGGCTATCATACTGGAGTATAGTCTGGGGTACATTGGCCAATGTTTACACTTTAGGATGTCTATGTGTATAAATTATAATACATAGAAGTAACTTATTTTATCTACCTGGCTCTGAAAATAGACTATCTACTGGAAAAAAAAATTATTTTTGCGTGCCACCTATGTTTGTCCTCTGCTTATTTGTGTAATTGCACAACCAAAAATGTATTATGCCAAAATACTATATTTTATTAAGTGATCTTTATTGAATGATTAATTGATTGACAATTTGTCAATAAAAATAAGGTCTATATGTTACTTTAATTCCCCAAGAGATAGTAGAGGAATATAAATGTCAATTGATCAATACATACATGTAATTAAGAACACGGAGCTGATTTCAGCAAATTGGAGCTGTAGGCCAAAACTGCCTTTGACTTGCTTTCTGACCTTTAGTAAATCAATTAAAATTCATCTTCATTCGCTTGCTATCCCTCTAAAAATAGAAATAGAATTTCCTCTTTCCCAAACAATAATTGAACTGTAAGAGATGAATCTTAAAAATAACTTTGAGATGACTACCATATAAATAATATCACTTTAAATCAGTGATATATATACCAAAGTCCTAAAAATACTTGTGAAACAAATGAAAATTTCTGGAAACAATACAGTAGTCACCCTTAACTATGGTTTCACTTTCTACTGTTTCAGTGACTTGCAGTCAACTGTGATACAAAAATAGATGTGTGGCACTCATATATGAGTTTTTTTTGTTGTTTTTTTTTTTGAGTTGGAGTCTCACTCTGTCACCCAGACTGGAGTGCAGTGACCACTCCCGGCCACCGCAGCCTTGACCTGCCAGACTCCAGCGATCCTTCTACCTCAGCCTTCCAAGTAGCCAGAACTACAGGCGTGCACTACCTCCCTTGGCTAATTTTTTATTTTATTGTAGAGACGAAGTCTCACCAAGTTGCCCAGGTGGGTCTCGAACCCTCAGGCTCGGTCTCCCAAAGTGCTGGGATTACAGGCTGAGTCACCGAGCCCGGCCTCATATATGAGTTAAGTATAAACTTACAAGCCTAAGTTTATGTAAGTATAAACTCATATTTCTTATTCACATAACTTTTTAAATAGTATATTTTATAATTGTCCTAATTATTGTTAATCTCCTACTGTGCCTAATTTATAAACTAAACTTTATCATAGGTATGTATGTAAAGGAAAACACATAGTATATATACATTTATGTATTATCTTCTCTTGAAATTATCCAATAGGATTTTAAAATGTATCCCTCATAGATTGTGGGGTCCCTCCCTGTACTTTAATAAATTAAGGAGTCTTTTCTGGAAGAATGCTAGAATTCAAACTACTAGAGTGAAAATGTTTACAATGTTGACACAAATTTTGGCAGGGTTTCTGAAAAAAATGTTCCATTATAAGAGAAAAATTTTCACTTACTGTCAACATCACTAATATACCTTTTCATGTTTTGCAACCCTGACATCACTGCTGTTGCAGAAAATTCCATAATGATGCCTTAGTATATGTATGTTGGTTTCTTCAAAATATGGTTTTCCATCGAGCAGCACAAACTTTGATCATTACAATACCTTGTCCCAATTTAATGTACCCTTTCTTTCTATATATAGATACTAGATATATTTTACTCTAATTTTATAAGGCAACAATAAAGCATTTTAGATTTGGAGTGATAATTGTACATTACAACAAAAAAGTTATTTGTTCAAAAACTAAATATTAAATACAAGATTCTATGTACTTAAAAACTTTTTTCTATTTTTGTTTTAAAAATAAATTTTAAAACAAGGATAAATTATCCACAATCTTTAGCATTTAAATACATATAGTATATCTCCAACCTATAGATACAAAGGTCATTTGTGTTTATGAAAATTCCTATCCAATTAACAAATATTTCTGAAAATTAAACTTTTTATCCTTATTATTAAAAATAGCTAGATCTGCAGCCAAGTAAGCCGACCGTGTTCCTTTCCTCGTGGGGACCCGGTGTGCAATGGCTGCAAACAGCAGCTTCCTTGGTAGTGTACGCAGGCTGTTTCTTGTATAGGTTGCTCTTAGGACCTTGGAGACAGCCCTTTCCAGTGTGTGTTCATGTCTGACCTTGCCACATCCCCAATGTAGGCTCCAGACAGGAATGCGAAGTGCCTTTGGGAAGCCCTAGGGCACCGTGGCCAGGGTGCACCTTGGCCAAGTCATCATGTCAATCCGCACCAAGCTGCAGAATAAGGAGCATGCGATTGAGGCTCTACGCAGGGCCAAGTTCAAGTTCCCTGGCCGCCAGAAGATCCATATCTCAAAGAAGTGGGGCTTTACCAAGTTTAACGCAGATGAATTTGAAGACATGGTGGTTGAGAAGCGGCTCATCCCAGATGGCTGTGGGGTCAAATACGTCCCCAATCACGGACCCCTGGACAAGTGGCGGGCCCTGCACTCATGAAGACTTTCACTCTGCTGGCTCTTCGTCCCCATATCAATAAATCTTGCTTCCTGTTTTTAAAAAAAATAGCTAGAAATGGTCTAGAAGAAATGAAAAAATTAAAAGACCAAAAGTAAAGATTAAACCCATTGATGTAGAAAAAAGTTGATTCTGGAGTCCATTCACACAAAAACACACATCATTTAAGTTGTACGCTTTGCTACTTTAAGCCAGATTTTAATATATATGTAGTATGGTAAGAACAACTTTGTAATTAACCAAAGCATATGCTGCTAATGAGATAGTTAAATATGTATAGAACATGTTCTTTTTCAATAGTGCTTAGATATAATACCTATGAGTCCTTTGCAAGGCTCCATAGGATTGACTTTGCAAACTGTAAATCTAAAAAGTTACAGCAAATTTTTCAGACTATACAACTCTTGCATATTCCTAGGTAATGTGTTAAGTCTTTAAAAATATACCTGTACTCGGGAAATTAAATTTTTATATTTGTCCAGTCTTAGAAAAATTCCAGTGTAAGGAAGGTAAAGGAACAGGCTAAGGTAGTGTCTTAGACCCTTTATCCTGCTAAAACAAAATGCAATAAACTGGGTCACTTATTAAAAACAAACAAACAAAACAAATTCATATCTCATAGTTATGGAGGCTGGGAAATCCAAGATCACATTGCCATCAGATTCAGTGTCTGAAAAGACCCTCTTACTGGTTCATAGAACTACATCTTTCCCCTTATCGCTTCATCAACAGCCATTTTTTGGCTGTGTTTTCACATGTGGAAGGGGTGAGAGAGTCTCAGGTCCCTTGTACAAGGACATTCACTAATATCATTAATGAAGGCTTGGTGTTCATGACCTAGTCACCACACAAAGGCCCTACATTCTAATGTTATCACACTGGAAATTCAGATTTCAACATATAGATTTGGGGTGACACACACATTTGGACCATGCCAAGTAAGTTACAGGTAAGATGGCATCTTTTTTTGTTCTGTATCTAGATCTCCATTTTACAGAATGGATCAGCACTCTCTTAGATTGGCTGGATCTCAAGGAAGGACAGCAGAGGAAGTACATAATATTTATTAATATCAAAGACATTTACAATGTATTGCTAAAATGGAAGAGGCAAATTATACAATTTTATGTACAGTGTGTCATCATTTTGTGAGCAAGTAATAAGAAAATGTTTAGGTAGATATAATCATAGATTAGTAATGATTATCTTTAAGTGAAGGGATTGTAAAACATTTTTTTTTGCTTTGTCTGTACTTTTTAATATAACTACAATAAACAAGTATTGTTCTGTCATAAAAGAAAAGGTATTTTTATCTCTAAAAGATAGTTTTATCTTTAAAACTAAAATTGTCTTCTATTTTCATAAATTCTTGTAACATGTAAATTTGATGATTAGACAACTTTTCCTTCATGCTACATTCATATTTACATATAATTTACAGATTACTTAAATAAATGTATCTAGTAACTAATGACAGATACATAATCAAGTGTATAGAAAATAAACCAGACCTTTTACCCTGATAATTCAATAATGACAAATTTGTTTGATACCTTTAATTTTACTATGTATTTACAATAGAAATATATTTTTGACATGTAAAAGTAGATTATTGGTTTGTTTCTCCAATTACATTAGAAAGTTTTAGACTGATAAATTTATTTAGGGCTGTCAGAGACCATTCAGCTTAATACTTAAATTTTACAGATAAGATTTCTGAGGTTCTCTCTCTCTCTCTCTCCTTCCCTCTTTCTCTCTCTCTCTCTCTTACTCTTCCTCGGTTACAGTCCCTTTGTGTAACTGCCCCTTTAATAAATCTCTTGGTTAAAAAAAAAAAAGATTTCTGAGGTTCAAGGAGACTAATAAATTATCCAAGATCACTCATTTAGTTCATAGCTGTATGCATTATAACCAAATCTTCTGAATCTTCTGATGAGTTCTTTTAAAGTCATATTACATAAAGAGCCAGATAGAATTTTACTACCTTCTTTAGAAATTCTTTGCTTTACACTGTCTGAAATTTCAAATTGTATTTATGTAATTTTAAGGTACTTAGTTTATCCCTTTAAAATGTTTTTAAAATCTTAATAAATGTAATTTCTTTAAAAGCAATTTAAAGCAATCATGGTTATGAAAACCTATATTATATATAAAGCTATGACTGTAAAAAAAATTTGATCTTTTATCCTAATTCCATTTTATTGATTTCTTGAATTTTTGAGAACAATATAAAGATTTCACGCTTCAGCAGGCCGGAGTGTAAACTCATGTGTCTGACATTCATACATAATCAGTACAAACACACACACACACACACACACACACACACAGTTACAGCTGCATATTTAACTCATTTTGATGACAAATGATATTGACTATGACAATCTATTTTAGTTTATGTTTTATATGAACATTAATTTAAAACATGCATCACATTTAGGAAGTAATGTGGCTTAGGAGAAAGAGCTGTGAAGTCTTAAACATGAAAAATCAATCACCCTTCAACATTTGAACCAAGAAGCAAATTGTTCAAACGTTCTAAGCTTCAGTTTATCTGAAAGTAGTATTTAAACCCACCCAGAAGTATTTTTTGAATTATCAGAATCTTATATCAAGCACCCATATTATGGAAGGTTACATAAAAAATTCAATATATTGTAGCTATTTTTATTTTTAAAATCTTTTACAAATAAAAATTGTATATATTTAAAGTGGACAACATGATGATTTGAAATATGTACACATTGTGTAATGATTACCACAGTTTAATTAACACTTCCACCACCAGCCATAGTTACCACTTATGTGTGTGGTGGGGCGAAGTAAGAGATTCTTAAAATCTGCTTTCTTATCAAATTTCAAGTAAACAATAAAATATTATTAACTCTATCTACCATGCTGGACATTAGCTCTCCAGAAAGAGCATATTTTGTAACTGAAAACTTGTACTATTTGATCAATATTTCCCCATTTCTTCCACCCTGCCCCCAGCTCCTGATAACCACCATTACACTCTATTTCTATGAGTTTGACTTTTTTAGATTCCATATATGAGTGAGCTCTTATACTATTTGCCTTTCTGTGTCTGGCTTATTTTGCTTAGCACAATGTCCTAAAAGTTCATCAGTGTTGTTTCAAATGGCAAGATTTTCTTTTTTATGGCTAAATAATATTTTATGTATATAAATACCACATTTTATTTATGCATTCATTCAGTAATGGGCACTTAGGTTATTTCCACATCTTGGCTATTGTGAATAATGCTGTAATGAACATGGGGGTAAAAATATCTCCTTTTCTAAATACTAGTTTCATCTCCTATGGTTATGCAGAATACCCAGAAGTGGAATTGATGGATTGCACAAAGGTTCTATTTTTAATTTTTTGAGGAAGCACCGTACAGTTTTCCATGATGCCTCTACCAGTTCACATTTCCACCAGCAATATACAAGGGTTTTCTTTTCTGCACATCCTCACCAACACTTATTTCTTGACTCTTTGAAAATAGCCATTTTATCCTTCTTTATGACTGCATAATATTCCATCATGTATATGTGTACCACATTTTTTTAATCCAGTTCACTTTCAGTAAGCAGCGTGGCTGTCCATGTTTTTGCTATTGTGAATAGTACTGCAATAGAGTTTGTAATACTCAATTATTGACCATAGAAACAAAGAACTGAATGCCACATGTTCTCATTCATAAATGGGTCCTGAACATTAGTCAAAATACTACAAAAGAGGGATTGGCAGTAGCAGTGCAATACCAGGGGAGGGAGGTAGTGGGGGACGCATAACATCACTAAGGGTACCTGATCCTCAGCCAGGGGAAGTGAGGACCAGAGGAGGCCCAAACTTCAACTGTATGTAGGTCACTTATGTACCTAATCCTTACTTGTACCCCACATTTTTCAAATAAAATAAAAGGGGAAAAATAAAGTTGTACCCTAACAGATGTGTGGTGATTATCTCATTGTGATTTTTGATTTGTATTTTCCTGATGATTAGTGATGTTGAATACATTTTCATATAGCTGTTCGCCATTTTTAAGTCTTTGATAAAATGTGTGTTCATTTCATTTACCCATTTTGAAATTGGGTTGGTATTTATTTTTTTTCACTATTGAGTTTTGAATATTAACTTTTATCATATATAGGGTTTGAAAATATTTTCTCTCATTCCATAGGTTGTCTCTCCACTCTGTTGGTTTTCTTTGCTGTGCAGAAGACTTTTAGTTTGATGTAATCCCACTTGTCATTCTTTGCTTTTGTTTACAGTACTGTTAAAATCACAGCAAAAAATTTTTACCAAAATCAATGTCAATGAGTAATTTTTCCTAGAATTAGTATGGTTTCAGATCTTAAATTTAATCTTTTAATTTCTTTGGAGTTAGTTTTCTGTATCTTGTAAGACAAATGTCCTATTTCCTACTTTTACACATGAATATCCAGTTTTCCCAGAACCATTTATTAAAAAGATCATCTCTTAAAAAAAAAAATCACTCTTTTCCCACTGTGTATTCTCAATGTCCTTATCAAAGATTTGTTGACCATATTTAAAAGATTTATTCATGGGCTCTCTATTGTGTTTCATTGGTCTGTTTCTGTTTTTATGCCATTACTGTATTCTTATATTACTATATCTTTATAATACACAGAAATTTAAAATCAGGGAGTGCGATGCCTTCATTTTTAGTGTTCTTTATTTTCAACATTGCTTTGGCTCTCTGGGATCTTTTATGGTTTCATATGAATTTCAGGATTGTCTTTTTCTATTTCTACTGGAATTTCAATAGGAACTACATTGAATTAGTAGATCATTCTGGGTAGTATGGGTATTTGTAGAATAGTAATTCTTCTATTTCATGAGAATTCAATTTCTATATATTTATTTTTGTCTTCTTCAGTTTTTCTTATCAGTGTTTTATAGATTTTTAGTGTACAAAATTTTAACATCCTTGGTTAAATTAATTCCTAAGTGTTTTATTCTTCCTAATTGCTATTGTAATGATGATAATTTTCTTAATTTCTCTTTTGGA